TTCAATTATGCAGTTCCTTCCTATAATAAACCTAATAAACCCTTTACACTAGTGATCGGAAGAATTATATAAAATTGAAGAGTTTCGGAGATGCTTCCAGAGCATAATGGACCGCGTTAAATTCAAAAATATTGCATTTGAGGAATTTTAGCTTAATGTTGGAATTGAGGGGTTAAATGGTGTGGTAGTGTTTTGTTGGTTTTGGTCGTATATTGTTCGGTGCGGTGTTTGTATTGTGTGGTAATGTCTAGATTCATTCATTAATATACAATTTATAGAAAAATAAATGAATTTGTCCGAGAAATTCTTTCCACGGGAACGTCATAAATATAATCTAGTAAATGTTATTAAAATATTGCCTTTATATTAGTTGATAATCCAGAATTGCTTAGATAATGATTGAAATTATCAAAATGATTCAAATAGGACTAATCTTACTCTATGCATAACCAGTAACTTGTAGGATTATTTTTTTTTTTTTTTTCTTTGTAGGAAAGTAGCCAATGATTTGATTAATTGACAATTTTGATGAAATCACATCCTGAAAAAATTACATCCTGAAAGTTTTCTTTTCCAAGATTTTATAAAATTTAATTGCAGTTTGAAAAAGTATTCATTTTTATCAAATTTAGTTGCGCTTGGAAAAATTACTTTGAATGAAAGAAAAAAGTTTATATAATCTGTGGCATATTATATTTGTTTTATTTATTTATTATTATAAGGAAAAAAAAGAGCAATTATTTATTGTGAAAGTAAAAATTAGTATCACAAAATCATTTATTTTTTGTAGCAGCAATTAATTTCTAATCGGTCATGCAAAAAAAATAGCAGGTGGTTAGCTTTCTTTGCTGCATGCTTTTTTTGCTAACTACGCGCAACTGCATGCTTTTTTTATTGAGCATATTTATTGCACATTTTGATATAAAACTCATTGTTAAACTATTAATTTTATTTGAGTGATATTATTTTGCTTATTGCCTGCTTTTTTTTCATCTTTTTTTAAAAGTTAGTTCTATTTGCTTTAGTAATTTATTGCTATAATTATTGCTTGTGTTGAAAGAAATTTTTTTAGTTCATAAATTTTCATTGAAATTATGTCCTTTCATCTTTTTTAAAATGCCTCTCAACACAATAAATTTTCCCATTTTTTTAAATACATTTTTTGCATATGCAAATTTTTCAAAAATTTTCTTTACTATAAATAATCATTTTATTATTTTATCAGTTAGTATTAGCTACAGGATCTGTTAGTGAAGAGTTCGCATAACCACTGGAAGTGTTAGTTTTGCAGACGATTAAAAGGAGTGTTATTCTAACAAGACTTTTTTAAAAAAAGAAAAAAAAAAAATGGAATCAAATTGTGCCATATGTTTGGAACAATTAAAATATCCGCTTGGAAGACCAGATAATTGTAAGCACAAATTCTGTTTTAAATGTATTCGCGATTGGTTAAAAAAGCGATCACAATGCCCACTTTGTGGTGGAGAGCCAAAATATCTAATTAAAATTGAAGAAACAAAAAATGAAAGAAAAGTGCCAGTAAAAAAAAGAACAAAGGAACAATTTAAAAATGAGGTTATCAGTGTTATCATTAATATATCATCACTATGAAATATTTTAATTTGATTGTCTATATCATTAATTTTTTTAAACTTATTTAACATGATGATTGTTATTATTATAGTGAAATGGTCCTTTGTTTGATTAATTAAATATTTTAAACAATTTTTCCGGACACGGTCATCTTTTTTCATTTTTGCTTAAAATTTTGCAAAATTTTTGAATTTTCAAGCTTCATGCCCAAGAACAACTGGAAAATGATCAAGGCGGCCCTTCAAATGAAGATATTACCATTGAATATGCAAACTGCCGATCATGCAGAAGTTCAGATAATGAACATTTACTGCTACTCTGCGACGGAAACATTGGTCAAAATGCTGATGGTTCTACGATTCGCTGTAATGTCGCCTATCATTGCTATTGCTTACCGGAGAAACTGGAGCGAATCCCGGAAAATGACCGATTTTGTCCATTCTGCGAAAATAAACCAGAAAATGCACAGCATTTTGTAGGACAAACAAATTTAAATGTTTCACGTTCAGAAGAAGCTGGTAGTAGTAGTTCAAGACAATTAAAGAATGAGACTGATGTATCGAAATGTCATCTAAGCGGATGTTTGGAGCAAGGTAATACGAAAATAGAAACTGGATGCAGCAAAATTAGAAATTCCGAATCAACGCTTATTCAAGATGCTTATGGTGATTCGGATACGGAAAGTGAATCAAGAGACTATAGTAATGAAAAGAGTGAATTATATTCAACAAGTGATGCAACTAGTGATGATTATGATGATAGCAACGAAATAACAGTCGAAAATACTGGCGGCAAGTTATCATATAGACGAAAATTAACAAACTATAATATTTTGATAATAAGATTACAACTCTTAAAAAATTAAAAATTTTAATACAGAAATTCTTATGAATTACAAATCATTCTACCTAATATTTTACGTTTGCGTGCTATACGTAGATGAAATATACGTCGATGAGAACGTACAAATATACGAAATTAATATTTCTTCATTAAAAAACAGACAAGAAATTATAACTAAAGCTAGAATAGGAACAAAAATATCGAATTTACTTATACATCATTAATATATAGGGACAAATTTTGATGTATTGGACGACGACGACGACGATGACGATGACAGTGATAATGGTGAGGATGATGATGATGATGATGATGATTGTAACGAATCAGATGAAACAGATTCTGAGCAAAAATTCCACCAAGCGATATTTCGCGATAATTACAGACGAAGAAGAGGAATGAAGCGTAATCAAGGAATTACATATCGCCGATAAAGTTGCAGAATTTATGACAAAGACGAAATGAAATTCTGGTAAAGCGGGAATATCAAAGACTGATACTAACACATCATCACTCTAGCTAACAGATCACTTCTATATACCAAATAATAATGATAATTTTAATAATTGCTGATGTATTTGATATACCATATGATTTTCTAACCAACTTACAATTTTACTTGTGATAATGCAATCAATGAATGTGTGAACTGAAATAAACTTATGCTAAAATCCAGAATTCCTATTACAATATTAACAGCGTTAATCTAAGTTACATTTGCTCATAAAAATTTTGAATCCGAATTTCATGAAATTATCACGTATAGTTCACATAGCGCTAAATTGTTACTGATACTGTACTACTAGAAGTCATTCTCAACACATTGAAATCACAATATTAAGAAACTGAAATGATTTAAAAGAGAAATAAATACTTGTGTTAAAAAAACCACTTACGTCAGCTTATAATCACGTAATATATCCGTGATCTCTCGTAATCACGCAAACAAATTCATAATTTTGGCATGATATTTTCCGTTATACTATTTACTTATATACTCTTCAATTATGCAGTTCCTTCCTATAATAAACCTAATAAACCCTTTACACTAGTGATCGGAAGAATTATATAAAATTGAAGAGTTTCGGAGATGCTTCCAGAGCATAATGGACCGCGTTAAATTCAAAAATATTGCATTTGAGGAATTTTAGCTTAATGTTGGAATTGAGGGGTTAAATGGTGTGGTAGTGTTTTGTTGGTTTTGGTCGTATATTGTTCGGTGCGGTGTTTGTATTGTGTGGTAATGTCTAGATTCATTCATTAATATACAATTTATAGAAAAATAAATGAATTTGTCCGAGAAATTCTTTCCACGGGAACGTCATAAATATAATCTAGTAAATGTTATTAAAATATTGCCTTTATATTAGTTGATAATCCAGAATTGCTTAGATAATGATTGAAATTATCAAAATGATTCAAATAGGACTAATCTTACTCTATGCATAACCAGTAACTTGTAGGATTATTTTTTTTTTTTTTTTCTTTGTAGGAAAGTAGCCAATGATTTGATTAATTGACAATTTTGATGAATCACATCTGAAAAATTACATCTGAAAGTTTTCTTTTCAAGATTTATAAAATTTAATTGCAGTTTGAAAAAGTATTCATTTTTATCAAATTTAGTTTCGCTTGGAAAAATTACTTTGAATGAAAGAAAAAAGTTTATATAATCTGTGGCATATTATATTTGTTTTATTTATTTATTATTATAAGGAAAAAAAAGAGCAATTATTTATTGTGAAAGTAAAAATTAGTATCACAAAATCATTTATTTTTTGTAGCAGCAATTAATTTCTAATCGGTCATGCAAAAAAAATAGCAGGTGGTTAGCTTTCTTTGCTGCATGCTTTTTTTGCTAACTACGCGCAACTGCATGCTTTTTTTATTGAGCATATTTATTGCACATTTTGATATAAAACTCATTGTTAAACTATTAATTTTATTTGAGTGATATTATTTTGCTTATTGCCTGCTTTTTTTTCATCTTTTTTTAAAAGTTAGTTCTATTTGCTTTAGTAATTTATTGCTATAATTATTGCTTGTGTTGAAAGAAATTTTTTTAGTTCATAAATTTTCATTGAAATTATGTCCTTTCATCTTTTTTAAAATGCCTCTCAACACAATAAATTTTCCCATTTTTTTAAATACATTTTTTGCATATGCAAATTTTTCAAAAATTTTCTTTACTATAAATAATCATTTTATTATTTTATCAGTTAGTATTAGCTACAGGATCTGTTAGTGAAGAGTTCGCATAACCACTGGAAGTGTTAGTTTTGCAGACGATTAAAAGGAGTGTTATTCTAACAAGACTTTTTTAAAAAAAGAAAAAAAAAAAATGGAATCAAATTGTGCCATATGTTTGGAACAATTAAAATATCCGCTTGGAAGACCAGATAATTGTAAGCACAAATTCTGTTTTAAATGTATTCGCGATTGGTTAAAAAAGCGATCACAATGCCCACTTTGTGGTGGAGAGCCAAAATATCTAATTAAAATTGAAGAAACAAAAAATGAAAGAAAAGTGCCAGTAAAAAAAAGAACAAAGGAACAATTTAAAAATGAGGTTATCAGTGTTATCATTAATATATCATCACTATGAAATATTTTAATTTGATTGTCTATATCATTAATTTTTTTAAACTTATTTAACATGATGATTGTTATTATTATAGTGAAATGGTCCTTTGTTTGATTAATTAAATATTTTAAACAATTTTTCCGGACACGGTCATCTTTTTTCATTTTTGCTTAAAATTTTGCAAAATTTTTGAATTTTCAAGCTTCATGCCCAAGAACAACTGGAAAATGATCAAGGCGGCCCTTCAAATGAAGATATTACCATTGAATATGCAAACTGCCGATCATGCAGAAGTTCAGATAATGAACATTTACTGCTACTCTGCGACGGAAACATTGGTCAAAATGCTGATGGTTCTACGATTCGCTGTAATGTCGCCTATCATTGCTATTGCTTACCGGAGAAACTGGAGCGAATCCCGGAAAATGACCGGATTTTGTCCATTCTGCGAAAATAAACCAGAAAATGCACAGCATTTTGTAGGACAAACAAATTTAAATGTTTCACGTTCAGAAGAAGCTGGTAGTAGTAGTTCAAGACAATTAAAGAATGAGACTGATGTATCGAAATGTCATCTAAGCGGATGTTTGGAGCAAGGTAATACGAAAATAGAAACTGGATGCAGCAAAATTAGAAATTCCGAATCAACGCTTATTCAAGATGCTTATGGTGATTCGGATACGGAAAGTGAATCAAGAGACTATAGTAATGAAAAGAGTGAATTATATTCAACAAGTGATGCAACTAGTGATGATTATGATGATAGCAACGAAATAACAGTCGAAAATACTGGCGGCAAGTTATCATATAGACGAAAATTAACAAACTATAATATTTTGATAATAAGATTACAACTCTTAAAAAATTAAAAATTTTAATACAGAAATTCTTATGAATTACAAATCATTCTACCTAATATTTTACGTTTGCGTGCTATACGTAGATGAAATATACGTCGATGAGAACGTACAAATATACGAAATTAATATTTCTTCATTAAAAAACAGACAAGAAATTATAACTAAAGCTAGAATAGGAACAAAAATATCGAATTTACTTATACATCATTAATATATAGGGACAAATTTTGATGTATTGGACGACGACGACGACGATGACGATGACAGTGATGATGGTGAGGATGATGATGATGATGATGATGATTGTAACGAATCAGATGAAACAGATTCTGAGCAAAAATTCCACCAAGCGATATTTCGCGATAATTACAGACGAAGAAGAGGAATGAAGCGTAATCAAGGAATTACATATCGCCGATAAAGTTGCAGAATTTATGACAAAGACGAAATGAAATTCTGGTAAAGCGGGAATATCAAAGACTGATACTAACACATCATCACTCTAGCTAACAGATCACTTCTATATACCAAATAATAATGATAATTTTAATAATTGCTGATGTATTTGATATACCATATGATTTTCTAACCAACTTACAATTTTACTTGTGATAATGCAATCAATGAATGTGTGAACTGAAATAAACTTATGCTAAAATCCAGAATTCCTATTACAATATTAACAGCGTTAATCTAAGTTACATTTGCTCATAAAAATTTTGAATCCGAATTTCATGAAATTATCACGTATAGTTCACATAGCGCTAAATTGTTACTGATACTGTACTACTAGAAGTCATTCTCAACACATTGAAATCACAATATTAAGAAACTGAAATGATTTAAAAGAGAAATAAATACTTGTGTTAAAAAAACCACTTACGTCAGCTTATAATCACGTAATATATCCGTGATCTCTCGTAATCACGCAAACAAATTCATAATTTTGGCATGATATTTTCCGTTATACTATTTACTTATATACTCTTCAATTATGCAGTTCCTTCCTATAATAAACCTAATAAACCCTTTACACTAGTGATCGGAAGAATTATATAAAATTGAAGAGTTTCGGAGATGCTTCCAGAGCATAATGGACCGCGTTAAATTCAAAAATATTGCATTTGAGGAATTTTAGCTTAATGTTGGAATTGAGGGGTTAAATGGTGTGGTAGTGTTTTGTTGGTTTTGGTCGTATATTGTTCGGTGCGGTGTTTGTATTGTGTGGTAATGTCTAGATTCATTCATTAATATACAATTTATAGAAAAATAAATGAATTTGTCCGAGAAATTCTTTCCACGGGAACGTCATAAATATAATCTAGTAAATGTTATTAAAATATTGCCTTTATATTAGTTGATAATCCAGAATTGCTTAGATAATGATTGAAATTATCAAAATGATTCAAATAGGACTAATCTTACTCTATGCATAACCAGTAACTTGTAGGATTATTTTTTTTTTTTTTTTCTTTGTAGGAAAGTAGCCAATGATTTGATTAATTGACAATTTTGATTTATAAAATTTAATTGCAGTTTGAAAAAGTATTCATTTTTATCAAATTTAGTTTCGCTTGGAAAAATTACTTTGAATGAAAGAAAAAAGTTTATATAATCTGTGGCATATTATATTTGTTTTATTTATTTATTATTATAAGGAAAAAAAAGAGCAATTATTTATTGTGAAAGTAAAAATTAGTATCACAAAATCATTTATTTTTTGTAGCAGCAATTAATTTCTAATCGGTCATGCAAAAAAAATAGCAGGTGGTTAGCTTTCTTTGCTGCATGCTTTTTTTGCTAACTACGCGCAACTGCATGCTTTTTTTATTGAGCATATTTATTGCACATTTTGATATAAAACTCATTGTTAAACTATTAATTTTATTTGAGTGATATTATTTTGCTTATTGCCTGCTTTTTTTTCATCTTTTTTTAAAAGTTAGTTCTATTTGCTTTAGTAATTTATTGCTATAATTATTGCTTGTGTTGAAAGAAATTTTTTTAGTTCATAAATTTTCATTGAAATTATGTCCTTTCATCTTTTTTAAAATGCCTCTCAACACAATAAATTTTCCCATTTTTTTAAATACATTTTTTGCATATGCAAATTTTTCAAAAATTTTCTTTACTATAAATAATCATTTTATTATTTTATCAGTTAGTATTAGCTACAGGATCTGTTAGTGAAGAGTTCGCATAACCACTGGAAGTGTTAGTTTTGCAGACGATTAAAAGGAGTGTTATTCTAACAAGACTTTTTTAAAAAAAGAAAAAAAAAAAATGGAATCAAATTGTGCCATATGTTTGGAACAATTAAAATATCCGCTTGGAAGACCAGATAATTGTAAGCACAAATTCTGTTTTAAATGTATTCGCGATTGGTTAAAAAAGCGATCACAATGCCCACTTTGTGGTGGAGAGCCAAAATATCTAATTAAAATTGAAGAAACAAAAAATGAAAGAAAAGTGCCAGTAAAAAAAAGAACAAAGGAACAATTTAAAAATGAGGTTATCAGTGTTATCATTAATATATCATCACTATGAAATATTTTAATTTGATTGTCTATATCATTAATTTTTTTAAACTTATTTAACATGATGATTGTTATTATTATAGTGAAATGGTCCTTTGTTTGATTAATTAAATATTTTAAACAATTTTTCCGGACACGGTCATCTTTTTTCATTTTTGCTTAAAATTTTGCAAAATTTTTGAATTTTCAAGCTTCATGCCCAAGAACAACTGGAAAATGATCAAGGCGGCCCTTCAAATGAAGATATTACCATTGAATATGCAAACTGCCGATCATGCAGAAGTTCAGATAATGAACATTTACTGCTACTCTGCGACGGAAACATTGGTCAAAATGCTGATGGTTCTACGATTCGCTGTAATGTCGCCTATCATTGCTATTGCTTACCGGAGAAACTGGAGCGAATCCCGGAAAATGACCGATTTTGTCCATTCTGCGAAAATAAACCAGAAAATGCACAGCATTTTGTAGGACAAACAAATTTAAATGTTTCACGTTCAGAAGAAGCTGGTAGTAGTAGTTCAAGACAATTAAAGAATGAGACTGATGTATCGAAATGTCATCTAAGCGGATGTTTGGAGCAAGGTAATACGAAAATAGAAACTGGATGCAGCAAAATTAGAAATTCCGAATCAACGCTTATTCAAGATGCTTATGGTGATTCGGATACGGAAAGTGAATCAAGAGACTATAGTAATGAAAAGAGTGAATTATATTCAACAAGTGATGCAACTAGTGATGATTATGATGATAGCAACGAAATAACAGTCGAAAATACTGGCGGCAAGTTATCATATAGACGAAAATTAACAAACTATAATATTTTGATAATAAGATTACAACTCTTAAAAAATTAAAAATTTTAATACAGAAATTCTTATGAATTACAAATCATTCTACCTAATATTTTACGTTTGCGTGCTATACGTAGATGAAATATACGTCGATGAGAACGTACAAATATACGAAATTAATATTTCTTCATTAAAAAACAGACAAGAAATTATAACTAAAGCTAGAATAGGAACAAAAATATCGAATTTACTTATACATCATTAATATATAGGGACAAATTTTGATGTATTGGACGACGACGACGACGATGACGATGACAGTGATGATGGTGAGGATGATGATGATGATGATGATTGTAACGAATCAGATGAAACAGATTCTGAGCAAAAATTCCACCAAGCGATATTTCGCGATAATTACAGACGAAGAAGAGGAATGAAGCGTAATCAAGGAATTACATATCGCCGATAAAGTTGCAGAATTTATGACAAAGACGAAATGAAATTCTGGTAAAGCGGGAATATCAAAGACTGATACTAACACATCATCACTCTAGCTAACAGATCACTTCTATATACCAAATAATAATGATAATTTTAATAATTGCTGATGTATTTGATATACCATATGATTTTCTAACCAACTTACAATTTTACTTGTGATAATGCAATCAATGAATGTGTGAACTGAAATAAACTTATGCTAAAATCCAGAATTCCTATTACAATATTAACAGCGTTAATCTAAGTTACATTTGCTCATAAAAATTTTGAATCCGAATTTCATGAAATTATCACGTATAGTTCACATAGCGCTAAATTGTTACTGATACTGTACTACTAGAAGTCATTCTCAACACATTGAAATCACAATATTAAGAAACTGAAATGATTTAAAAGAGAAATAAATACTTGTGTTAAAAAAACCACTTACGTCAGCTTATAATCACGTAATATATCCGTGATCTCTCGTAATCACGCAAACAAATTCATAATTTTGGCATGATATTTTCCGTTATACTATTTACTTATATACTCTTCAATTATGCAGTTCCTTCCTATAATAAACCTAATAAACCCTTTACACTAGTGATCGGAAGAATTATATAAAATTGAAGAGTTTCGGAGATGCTTCCAGAGCATAATGGACCGCGTTAAATTCAAAAATATTGCATTTGAGGAATTTTAGCTTAATGTTGGAATTGAGGGGTTAAATGGTGTGGTAGTGTTTTGTTGGTTTTGGTCGTATATTGTTCGGTGCGGTGTTTGTATTGTGTGGTAATGTCTAGATTCATTCATTAATATACAATTTATAGAAAAATAAATGAATTTGTCCGAGAAATTCTTTCCACGGGAACGTCATAAATATAATCTAGTAAATGTTATTAAAATATTGCCTTTATATTAGTTGATAATCCAGAATTGCTTAGATAATGATTGAAATTATCAAAATGATTCAAATAGGACTAATCTTACTCTATGCATAACCAGTAACTTGTAGGATTATTTTTTTTTTTTTTTCTTTGTAGGAAAGTAGCCAATGATTTGATTAATTGACAATTTTGATTTATAAAATTTAATTGCAGTTTGAAAAAGTATTCATTTTTATCAAATTTAGTTTCGCTTGGAAAAATTACTTTGAATGAAAGAAAAAAGTTTATATAATCTGTGGCATATTATATTTGTTTTATTTATTTATTATTATAAGGAAAAAAAAGAGCAATTATTTATTGTGAAAGTAAAAATTAGTATCACAAAATCATTTATTTTTTGTAGCAGCAATTAATTTCTAATCGGTCATGCAAAAAAAATAGCAGGTGGTTAGCTTTCTTTGCTGCATGCTTTTTTTGCTAACTACGCGCAACTGCATGCTTTTTTTATTGAGCATATTTATTGCACATTTTGATATAAAACTCATTGTTAAACTATTAATTTTATTTGAGTGATATTATTTTGCTTATTGCCTGCTTTTTTTTCATCTTTTTTTAAAAGTTAGTTCTATTTGCTTTAGTAATTTATTGCTATAATTATTGCTTGTGTTGAAAGAAATTTTTTTAGTTCATAAATTTTCATTGAAATTATGTCCTTTCATCTTTTTTAAAATGCCTCTCAACACAATAAATTTTCCCATTTTTTTAAATACATTTTTTGCATATGCAAATTTTTCAAAAATTTTCTTTACTATAAATAATCATTTTATTATTTTATCAGTTAGTATTAGCTACAGGATCTGTTAGTGAAGAGTTCGCATAACCACTGGAAGTGTTAGTTTTGCAGACGATTAAAAGGAGTGTTATTCTAACAAGACTTTTTTAAAAAAAGAAAAAAAAAAAATGGAATCAAATTGTGCCATATGTTTGGAACAATTAAAATATCCGCTTGGAAGACCAGATAATTGTAAGCACAAATTCTGTTTTAAATGTATTCGCGATTGGTTAAAAAAGCGATCACAATGCCCACTTTGTGGTGGAGAGCCAAAATATCTAATTAAAATTGAAGAAACAAAAAATGAAAGAAAAGTGCCAGTAAAAAAAAGAACAAAGGAACAATTTAAAAATGAGGTTATCAGTGTTATCATTAATATATCATCACTATGAAATATTTTAATTTGATTGTCTATATCATTAATTTTTTTAAACTTATTTAACATGATGATTGTTATTATTATAGTGAAATGGTCCTTTGTTTGATTAATTAAATATTTTAAACAATTTTTCCGGACACGGTCATCTTTTTTCATTTTTGCTTAAAATTTTGCAAAATTTTTGAATTTTCAAGCTTCATGCCCAAGAACAACTGGAAAATGATCAAGGCGGCCCTTCAAATGAAGATATTACCATTGAATATGCAAACTGCCGATCATGCAGAAGTTCAGATAATGAACATTTACTGCTACTCTGCGACGGAAACATTGGTCAAAATGCTGATGGTTCTACGATTCGCTGTAATGTCGCCTATCATTGCTATTGCTTACCGGAGAAACTGGAGCGAATCCCGGAAAATGACCGATTTTGTCCATTCTGCGAAAATAAACCAGAAAATGCACAGCATTTTGTAGGACAAACAAATTTAAATGTTTCACGTTCAGAAGAAGCTGGTAGTAGTAGTTCAAGACAATTAAAGAATGAGACTGATGTATCGAAATGTCATCTAAGCGGATGTTTGGAGCAAGGTAATACGAAAATAGAAACTGGATGCAGCAAAATTAGAAATTCCGAATCAACGCTTATTCAAGATGCTTATGGTGATTCGGATACGGAAAGTGAATCAAGAGACTATAGTAATGAAAAGAGTGAATTATATTCAACAAGTGATGCAACTAGTGATGATTATGATGATAGCAACGAAATAACAGTCGAAAATACTGGCGGCAAGTTATCATATAGACGAAAATTAACAAACTATAATATTTTGATAATAAGATTACAACTCTTAAAAAATTAAAAATTTTAATACAGAAATTCTTATGAATTACAAATCATTCTACCTAATATTTTACGTTTGCGTGCTATACGTAGATGAAATATACGTCGATGAGAACGTACAAATATACGAAATTAATATTTCTTCATTAAAAAACAGACAAGAAATTATAACTAAAGCTAGAATAGGAACAAAAATATCGAATTTACTTATACATCATTAATATATAGGGACAAATTTTGATGTATTGGACGACGACGACGACGATGACGATGACAGTGATAATGGTGAGGATGATGATGATGATGTAACGAATCAGATGAACAGATTCTGAGCAAAAATTCCACCAAGCGATATTTCGCGATAATTACAGACGAAGAAGAGGAATGAAGCGTAATCAAGGAATTACATATCGCCGATAAAGTTGCAGAATTTATGACAAAGACGAAATGAAATTCTGGTAAAGCGGGAATATCAAAGACTGATACTAACACATCATCACTCTAACAGATCACTTCTATATACTTACAATTTTACTTGTGATAATGCAATCAATGAATGTGTGAACTGAAATAAACTTATGCTAAAATCCAGAATTCCTATTACAATATTAACAGCGTTAATCTAAGTTACATTTGCTCATAAAATTTTGAATCCGAATTTCATGAAATTATCACGTATAGTTCACATAGCGCTAAATTGTTACTGATACTGTACTACTAGAAGTCATTCTCAACACATTGAAATCACAATATTAAGAAACTGAAATGATTTAAAAGAGAAATAAATACTTG